CTGCTGCGACCAGCTCGATGACAGGCTGGCCCCACTTTGCAAACGCCGGGCTGTCACGAAGCCCGTTATTCGCCTCGCGTTTATCTAACGCTGTTTTCAGGGGACTTCTCATTTGTGCCTGTTACGAGCGCTCAGGCACGGCTGTGTAAAGAGCGGGTTCCAGCCTGGCGAACCATCCCAGCCCGCACCTGCAGGCTGTTTCTCTCAGCTCGAGGCCTGTAACACCTCCCACTGCAGGCAGCTGCGCGGCCGTGCCGCGCGGAACGGCAGGCTCTAGGCTTCTTCTGTGAGGGAAAGAAAAAGTTGCTACGGCGGCTCGTTGGTCTAGGGGTATGATTCTCGCTTAGGGTGCGAGAGGTCCCGGGTTCAAATCCCGGACGAGCCCAGGTTTCTTCTTTTTTTTCCGCTTCCTCTGTTTCGGCCCCAGTTGATGCGCCTGGTGTCCTCCCCCGCGGTGATTCAGGCACAGCGCGGCTCCCAGCCACAGCGAAGAGATATGGGCAGGACTCGCAAAGAGGTATTTCCTTTTCAGTGCAAGGAAAGGGTCACCCCTCCCACTATAACGACCCCGACGAGACGGGGCTGTGGGGCGTCCTGCTCACCTGCGCTCAACCTCTGCACAACCCGGCTGCGCCGCCGCAGCTACTGAGTTTGCCGTTTTTCCCCTGCACCAGCGCCCACCCTCCCACTGCGGGCAGGCCCGAAGCGGAGAGGCATGAAAACGCAAAGGGGCACCCCGACACCAAAATAAGAAGTGCTAGCGCACCCTTTTTGTGGCGGGCTCGTCCGGGATTTGAACCCGGGACCTCTCGCACCCGAAGCGAGAATCATACCCCTAGACCAACGAGCCGCTCTGTCTTTACCTCCCCAGCTCAGCACTTCACTCTCTTCCCGCCTCCTACTGCCCAGTGCTTCTGTGTGCCTGCCCTCCCCCGACTCCCAATGGTTCTGCCCACCGCTTCGGAAGATACCATTCTTCTCCTTAACAGTGGAGATTGCTGCAATTTCCTTTCCCCCACCCCCAAAGGTCTACCGCTGGCATCGCCCTTTCGTCGACCCGTAGGCTCTGCTTGGCAGAGGCGATTCCAAGCTCCCCGGGCCGCAGCGACGGCCGCCACGATGCTTTTCCCACTTTCGGAAGAATACCCACAACCCCCCTCCCGCTTCCGCTTCGCGCTCGCAGCCGGCGCGCTTGGTGGGCAGTGGCACGCACGGCCAGTGGGTTGGAAGCAGGGCGAGCTCATTCTCAGCGAATGTGAAAGGGGGCAATGGGGTACACACATACTCCTCCCCCGACCAGCTTTGGTTTATCCCGGGCCGCTCTGTGCCGACCATTTATGCACCGCGTCCCCTCGAGGTGTGAGAGAGGAATGGCGGGTTCCCCTTTGCTCGCTGGGGCGGGCGGTAACGGCCTTGGGCTCCTGAGGGAGGTGCCTCAGCAGCTGAGAGTGTGTTTCTCATGTGTTGTGGCCCAGAGGAGGCAGTGGCGTTCCTTTTGCTGTCTGAACCAATGCTGCAGCTTTGGCTCCCACTTCGTCCCTGATGTGCTATATGCTGCAAATGCCTCTTGTCAGCCCCAAGCATCCTCCTCATGTTTCCACACCTTCAAACCAGTCTCCCTTGCATCCCAGATCTTTCAAAAGAGCCTTATTCCTCCCGTAAGTAATTGCTCTTAGTCCTTAACCATCCAACACTTTCCTGTGGCTCGCAGTACGGTTTAAACACAATCCAATAAAAAAATAACCAAAACCCCAAGAAAATCCCAGCTAAACACACCAATTACAGTCTCCTTGCTCTTGGGCTGCATGTCTTTCTCCACTTCATCTTTATTCTTGCTGTTTTCCACCCTTCCCCCCAGTTTAAAGGTCTTCTGTCCTGTCAGGTTGTGCTTTTCCTTTTGAAGCACTATCCACACCAGAGGAATTGCATAAATTATATCAGATTTGTACTGTTGAGGGAATTTTCCTGTTTGGCCATCAGCGTTCACACACCTGTCAATTTTACAGATATGTATGGGTCAGAATAGGCACCCTCCACCCAGTACACCAAGCTAAGCTGTGGTCACGTTCCAGTCAAAACTTTGACTAGGTATGCCTTGTGGATACACCACCACGCTGCCCAAGCCAACATTCCCTGATAGTATGGATAGTATTCCTGCAACCTGTAAGGCCATCAAAGATGGAGATGATGATGCAACTTCTGGCACAGAAAGTCTCAAAACTGATGACTGCCAGAAGCTTGGTAAATCTCACAGGAAGGATCACTGTGTGTCATCTTGGAGGTTTTTGTGCTTCCCCTGAACTAGGATGCTGTTGGAGAAATGGCACTAGGTGAGACAGCTTCGCTTTCTTCTGTTCCTTGGTACGCAATACCTGCAGGGCTGGGGCAGGGAGTGTGGCTATTTCCAGTGTCACCGCTTTCCCCAGAGAACACCTTCCTTTGTGGATTAAGCACGTCGGTTATTGATGTTCCCCCAAAATAAAAAATACCATAAATTAAATTAAAACTGTTCAAATGGCACCCCTATTTTGCCTTCTACTGCTGGGTCTCTCCATCTTACCTCAGGCTCCTTCATCTCCCCATGAGGAAAAACACAGATTTTGTTCTGGCTTGGTTTTATTCCACCGTTTATTTCTTCTATTTCTCCCTCAAATTTCCATTCCCTTGCTTGGGACACACATACTCATTCTCTAAACAGGCACACATATATCTCTCTATATATAGTAAGGCACAATCACTCACATCCAGATGGGACACTCTGCTGAGAGAAGAAACAGGGTACAGTGAATGATTGCAGCCTGCCCTGGAATACAAGCTCTAACAAACATTAAAATGGATTCAAAGGTTACAATGCTCCATAGCATGGCTCAAAAGGATGTGGGGTCCTCTGTGTCTAACAAGTCCACATGAGAGCGGCAGCACTGCTGGCTCTCAGCAAATGATACCTTGGTGCTCTCACCTGGGAAAAAGAAAGGCAGGGCACAGAGCCACTTCTTTCCTTGTGATTTTAGCGCTGGTGAACAGAAAGGGGATATCCTTCAAAACCATTGGGGATGAGTTGCAGAGTCCGCTCAAGGTCAGATGTGTATGTAAAATGCTTGTTCCTGCGCAGAGAGACAGGGAGAACCTGAGCCTCTGACTCTGCTCGGCTTAATGTTTGCTAGGAGGAGCTTCGTCATGGATGAGGAGCTGCCTGGTTCTGCCCTTGGTCTTGGTAGCTGCATCTGCTGCTGGGTACAAGGTGGCTGATGGCAGGCTCAGGCATTAATTCCTGACTGTTCACACCACCTAACAGCTAGCTGACTCCTTGCCTCAGCTTTTGACAAGCCTGCCTAGCTGCCTCCAGTGAGCCCAAACTTGTCCACAGCTTTATGTCGTGCTGTGAATATAAGCCCCATGGCCTTGAGCCAGAGCAGCTTTTTATTCAGTACTGCTGGTACAGCTTCAAGCACTGCTGTGAGGAGGGTCTGTTATCTGTCTGTCCCAAATAAGTTATTTCTTATGAGTGACAAATACTCTCCATATGAAAAGCTTTTCTTGGCTTAGTGTGGAGCAATGGTTATTCTCACGAGGGCCTGCACAACCCAGGATTAGAGCTGAGTGAGACAGCCTTGAACTCTTTCTGACTCAGCTGAGCCGGGGAGGCCTGGAGTCGAAGAAATGTAAGCAGAAACGTTGAAACAGGAGCTTGCTGGCCACAAGGAATGCACCGCTTATCACAAGGCATGCACCCTGCTGTTGCAGAGATATGTGTGCAAAACTTAGCTTAGCCAATAGCAATGTATAGACAGGCGTGTGGACAGTTGTTGGGGACCAATGATAGCTTTGCTTTAGGAGCGTGGCTTATTTAGAATCCGATATAAACACTGTGTATGCAAACAATAAATGAGAACGATCATACTCATATTGAGGTTGCGTCGTTACTCCGGGCCCGACTCCCACTCCGACAGCTTAGCAACTGCTAGACCCATGACTTAACTAGCACCTGAAGAGTGAATGCAACTCTAGTAGAATGTCTTAAATACTTAGGAGGTTGGCTGATACCCTATCTGATATTCACCAATTCATATTCAGCCAGGCCATACGACTGGAGACTCAGCCATCTAAGACCTCTTCTTTGCTCTACATAAAATAAACCAGCTGTTCCCAGTGAACCAGGATGCTTTCTGTTATGAGTAGCACTTGGTGGCGACAAATTGGAAGTTTCAAAAGAGAATCAGACTGGATAGGGTCTGGAAGTAAGAAAGACTAAGGGACAGGCAGCACTTCTAAATCTGGACTGGAGTCCAGGGCCAGATAAAAAAGTTGCCCTGTTGACCTAAGCAGCACATCACAGCTACATATCAACACATTTTCTGTGCATCAAATCTGTTGATTGCTTTCCACCAGCACTAAAACCACCCCAAAGACGAAGCACACAGAAAAACTGCCTAGCACAGCTTTCTGTTTCACAGGTCAGCCAGCTCAAACCCACTTCAAAGGGATTTTAAGCTTTATGAACAACTTCCTAAGAGTTTTCCCATGTTCAGGGTTCACATTGCCTGCCTTACAGCATATATCGAGAAAACATACTTTTTCCTACTGTTAAAACATTATTTACTGAAATTTGAAAATCCAAAATGTTTCAAAAGAAGCTTCTAAAAAGGCACCATACATGTGTGTATGTAACTGATGAACTTCATCTAAGACCAATTCAGGGGAGAAGGAAAAGACATTTTGGAGCAGGATGAAGAAGCAGAGAGACCAGGAATGGTGGTGGTTGTCAGCTCCAGGACAGCACGTATCAGGTCTTTCAGTCCCCAGATATCACCAAGGAATGTCAGACAACACCTCAGTTTTGAGCTCTGAAGCAACTGCAAGCCAGTCTCTTGTTCCAACTGTCCCTAAGTATGACGGTGAAAAGCAGGGAGACAGCAAGCTGCCACTCAGCTCAGGGATGAGTATGGACCTCAGGGGATATCTGTGTTCTGCTCCTCTCCTGCCACTGAAGTTTTTCCACCTTGTAACTTCCACCTTGATTGAGTTAGATGGCTTCTATTTGCATGTTAAGTCTCCTGTGCCCTGATTGGGTATGTCCTTTTAAGAGGGGAAAAGAAAGGAAATTACACAAAATAATCATGTGCCTAAGTAAATACAGTGCTGGTGTGTGGGGTCTGTGACTTTGGTATTTCTTTGGGGGGTATTTTGATAGTTTCTGTGCTAGGACACAAGGGCAAGATGCAGCCTGAGCACTAGCCTGCTTCGTTCAGTTGCTTCTTGCCAAATCAAGGAGGCATTTGAAGAAGGAACAGGTGTTTGAGGTGGAATGATACATTTCTTCAGGCATCTGTGGCTATATTATCAGTGGTTAGAGAATGTGTAAGAGCCTACATGCAACAAGGTCCACTTGAGCTCGTGGAAATCCTCTTTTATTTCAAGTGGCAGAGGCCTGTGTCTGCATGCTTACAGGGCTGATAAGGAAATTGGTACATGTGCAAAGACTTTTTTTGCTAGCAAAGCTAACAACCTAAAGACATGTATATATAGAGAATATACATGTATGGATACATATCTACAATGTGTGCACACATAAATATTTATATGTAAGGAGGCATATTGAGATAGTACATAGGTAGTTACTGTTGGGGAAAAGTGATTTTCACTGAAAGCACTTTAAAATTGCTTTCAAACCAGCAACTGAGCAGGGTGCCTGGTGAGCAGAGGCACCATTTTACTCGATCCAGAATCAGCTTTGCTTCTTCTCCATGCTCTCTGTAACACCATCCAGTAGGGCTGTTTGGGTTTTTTAAATTCCCTGCCTTGCAGCCTCTCCAGGCCAGAGATTTGATACTTTTGAGGTGTGGGGAGCAGCAAAAATGACTGAAAATTGCCATTTACAATAATAAGCAAAACATGCTGGTACTTTAGGAGCCATCATCATGATGACCTGTCTTACCTGTGTGTCATGGTTACACTGTGCCCTGGTCCTGCATAGCTGACATTGAAGGCTCACTGCCAGTCTCTAAACCCACCATGCCCAGCAGCTGTTCAAGTGCCAGTGGTGTTTCTTCTGACTCTCTCCATGTGTCTGTGCTCTCACTGGTCTCCTTTGCTTCAGCTTCTTCCTTCTCTGTGTACCCCTTTTCCTGTTCACAGGCTTGCTGCTCTTCTTCCTGGGGACCCCCACACACCTTCTCCTCCTTGTTGCCAGAGGGAGGCTGGGGAGAGTTCTCTGGGGCACAGTGACACTCTTCCTCCTCCTTTGTATCCCCTGCATTACTCTTGCAAGGAGTCATTTCCTCTGACTGTTTTTCTCCTTTTTCTTCACCTTTTGATCTGCTGGATCCTCTCCTTGATGGGGGCTTTCCATCAGGCCCTGTGTGTTTCTTTTGCTCTTTGCTCCCTGTTTCTGCCTCCTCTGTCTTGCCCTTGGGCCCAAATACCTCATCCCCATCTTCCTTGGCACCATTTTCTGGAGAGATGTTGACCCCTAAATCTTCCTCATCTCCATACTCAGACAGAGATCGTCGGAACTTCCTGGAGGGGGGCCTGCGCTTTATCAATCCCCGTGTCCGCACCTTGGAGACAGAAAAAGCAGACATTGAAGCAGTTGAAAGAGTACTACTGGAAAGCATGAAAATACAACAGAGGAAAATAGCAGAAAAAAAACTTTATTTCTACCCTGGTGGCCTCACTTTCCATGCTCTGCTACTGAGAGGTAGGGAGAAGGCAGCTCCCTGCCAATGACAGACTACTTTATAGGACAAGCAGCTCCCTAATATATGCATCCTTTCCTTCTGTAAAGATGGTGGCAGAGATCATTGTCCCAGTTAAAACTGTGGTTCCTTGTCCAAGTTAAGACCCTAACCCCAAGGATGCTGCATTTATTACAAAGATGCAGCTGACTTTGGGTATCTCAGTCTTTTCTACTCTTGGCAGTTTGGTGGTTGAGGAAGGAGTCTGCAGTCTAGCTGATGATGGTGAATGCAGGTTACAGGTCCCCACACTCTGTGAGGACACCTGGTAACCACTGTGCTCTGCATGGCTCCCTAAAGTGCACCTCAGCCACCCTTGACATGTGCTGCACAAGGCACCACCTTCTCACAGCACTCCCTGCCCAGGTACCAGCCATCCTGTTACTGCTGAGCTGAAGTGACTGGGTCCTGCCGCTTACTTTACCAGCTGGGCTGGGAAAAGCTGCTACACAAACCTCTGTATGCGGGTGAGCAGAGACAAGGCTCCACAGAGCTACACTGACAGGTTGTTTCGAACCTGGGACTACAGGCTCCTCTTCATCCCCAAGCAATAAGCAAGCCTTACCCTTCTGTGGTGGAGAAATCCTAGTGCATACTGTACCTTGTTATAGAACTGCAGCTGAGTGCCTTCTGGGGGTTGATCAAAGCTGACTGGCACCTCACTTGCTTCACTGGGCTGGGACTGAACCCTGGAGCTGCTGGGCGTCGAGGGAGGGGTGCTGAACGGAGAAACCAGGGCTTTCAGACCAGGACTTTTGGGAGATGCTCCCGGGAGCAGAGCAGCTGGAGCAAAAGCCAGAGTGGCCTACAGAGAAAACATCCCCGTCATGATGGTGTGCATGACACCAGCACGTACTACATGTGGTAACCACATGGAGGAACCCTTGCTTCCGCCACAGGAGCTGCCGCATCTCGCAGCTGTCACAACCCACATGCCTTCTGGTTGTGGATCTTTCCTGGTGACACTGTCAACAAACAAATTCAGGCAGAGAAATTATGACTGGACTTTTGCCTTTCCCCAGCAGCTGGATCTCAGGACATCTGTTTTTGTTATCCTGAGGCCTTTTGGGATTTTCCAGTGACCCAGCCAAGCCTGCCGCAATCTACAGTGGCTGAGGTGGGAGAAAGTCTGAACAAGCAGCCAGCATCACTTCAAGATTTAGACCACCCCTGTGTGTGCCCAAGCAGACCTCTTATTTTAAGGCCTGGTCTGCAGGTCTTCTGAATGATCTGTGAAGTCATGAGGAGCAAGAAGACCATGGAAAAAGAAGCAAGCTTGTGACTAATTGTGGTAAAACACTTCCTGCTGGTCTGTCACAAAAAGCTGTTGTAGGCAAATGTCCTTGGGTGCATTAAAGGGACAGTGCTATCAATACGCTTACGTTGTGTCAGAGCAGCCAGTAGGCACTGAGCTCTGGAGTCGCAAGTGCTGCCAGGAGAGGCAGCTGGCAGCGGCAGGGCACTATGTCTACAGGCTATCGAGTGCTGAGCTGCCCTCAGTGCCATCAATCATGCTCTGTGGAGAGATACAATAAGGGCAAGAGGTACGGTGTGTTTGTGTGTAATGCAAAATCTAGGTGAGGGAAGCACAGAGCTTCTGGGCATGCACAGGGGAACGCCAGAGCCTGGAGCACACTCTTCACTGCTAGGATTTTAGCTGTGCCAGCTCCCTGAATGGGTACAGGTGATTCAATTTAATATATAAGGGCAACTCCCATATGAAGACAGGCTGAGAAAGTTGGGGCTGTTCAGCCTGGAAAAGAGAAGCTGTGTGGAAACCTCATAGTAGCCTTCCAATATCTGAAAGAGGCCCACAGGAATGCCATAGAGGGACTCTTCATCAGGGATTGTAGTGGCAGGACAAGGGATTTCAGTTTAAACTTAAACACGGGAAGTTCAGATTAGATACAAGGAAGAATATCTTTACTGTGAGGGTGGTGAGACACTGGAACAGGATGCCCAAAGAACACTGCCCTGGCAGTCTTCAAGACCAGGCTGGACAGAGCTTTGGGCAACATGGTCTAGGGTGAGCGTCCCTGCCCATGGCAGGAGGATGGAACTAGATGATCTTAAGGTGCTTTCCAACCCAATGGTTTAGACTGCTGCAAAGAGCTCAAGAAGTCTCAGCCAGGGTTTCCTTCACTTTTCTCTCACGAGCTGCATTTAAACTGAGGTGCCTGTCCCTGCTCCCTACCTGAGCTGTGCTACTGCAATGGCCATACCCAGCCACATACCCCACAGGTCCAAATGATCCTGACCCACACACTGACCTGCTTGTGGGTGTGTTTGAGGATCACCAGACTATGATATTGGATAGCATCACTAGACCTGCTCTTCTTTTCTTGTTTTTGTGCAGTGGAACTGGGCCCTCCTCAGTGAGGCCTCTGTCCTGCTTACCTAGATGTCACCCTTGACTCCTGGATCCCCCCCCTGCTCTGCAGGGAAAGCAACTATGACAAATGCCAATCAATTTTTATTTGCTGCAGCAACCATGTGGGCTCCTCCAGGACCTACCTGCAGCTTTTCAATCATGGGGGAGCTTTTCACCTTGACCTTGGGAACGGGGCAAGCATTTGGAGTCTGCCTCTGCAAAACAAAATGAAACATGAAAAAGTCACAGTAAAGTAAGTGAAAACGAGGAAATACAGTGAAGGTGGAAAACTTGGAAGAGAGAAGCAGAAAGTACTAGTCGGGGAGCAAATGAAGTCTTATATGATGTCTTCATGAAAAAATTTGCTTTCTTCTTTCCTTATCATGCCCTCCTTTTGTTCTCTGGCCAGATTCTGCATACCTGTATCCTTTCTATGGGAGAAAAGGTGATTGTCTACTTTCTGGCTGAAGTACCTGAGTTAGGTGATGTGTAATGGACTTGCTGCTACATGGCCTTCACTAAGGTAGCTAACCTGTGACACATTTACCCCTGTTATTATTTCAGGACCAGACAGATTAAAATTTTACTTCTTAAAGGATACAAACCTTAACGTTGGCAAACATTGTGAACGTTTTATGACAGGAAAAACTTTCTGCCACTACTTGACTAACAGTATCCAATTAGTATGGGCAAGAAAAGCCTAAGTGGCTAGAAAGACAGAGCTGTGAAAGACTGAGAACAGTTTAAGAAAGGGAGAACATTGCTTTGGGAAGGAGCATATAGATTTTTCCAGGTTCAAAGCAAAAGAAAAGAAACATAAGATTTTAAAGCTTGTGTTCCTTTGGTACGGAGGCAGCAAGAGCCTGTAGCTGTCAGAACAGAAGGATAAAGAACCATCCCCTTGTTAAGGGCAGATGAAAATGTGAAATTTGGTGGGTAGACCTCATACCCTGAAATACAGAAAGACAGAAGTGACTGGAGAGGGCCCAAGTGTGAATTTTAGTGAGTAACAGACAGCTTATGGGGACCTGTTCTTTTGGGGGTGCTGTATGAAGGACACCTCAGGACAATGTTCTATGGGTACTGCTGACTAAATCCCTCTTCACTCTGTATTAATTATTCCCTTTTTCTGACAAAGGAAAAATCTCAAGAGCAGAACTATTCCACCATTATACTCAAACCTCTACAGTTCATCTGAAGGCAACAAACAGCATCGGTGTCCCCTGTGCTAAGCACTGTTTAAATCTAATAAATGTTGGCAGTTCCTGCATTAAAATGCTTCAAAGGTGGTAACTGGGTGGATCCATCAGTGCTCTAAGAGTAAAACAAAAGCAGTAGAAATGGGATATGTACCCATGCTATAAGCTTGGAATACAGCATGGAGCTGACGCTGAGTACGTGTGTGTGAGCAGGGATTCTGCATGACTGATGTCTTTTGCTGCACAGCCTGACCTTTCTGCAACCTTCACGTGCATGTCTCAGGAGAGAAGAGGTGGCAGAGAGGAGAGACCTTGTCCCTCTATTAAACTGGTACTCACTTGCTCATCATTGTCACTTGTCTCAGTTTTGTGGGAATACAATGGAAGGGAGCATGGTGGTTTCCTCCGAGTTGGCTTATGTGATGGTACCTAAGAGAAGAAAACGACCAACACAGCAGCAGGGAAATAAATGTTTTTTTAAAAAGGAAATGAAATTCAGGCAGCAAAGGGCACGCTTTGTAAGTGACCTGCTTTGATGGGAGGGCTTAGCTTGCCTAAATACATCATCCAAAGACAGCACGAGACATTAGCACGTGGGCTGTGGCCAGCATGCTACGTGTACTTGTAGTATCTCAAGCCCAATCCTAGTTGGAAAAGTAGTCTCTATCTCCTTCCACAGCATGAACCATGACACTTCAAGCTTTGTGCAAAGGACACTATTCTAAGCTGTAGAGGTTGGAGAAGCCTTCCCAGCAGCTTAATCTTCAAAGCATCCTGCTGGAGACCACCTCACACTGCAACAGCTTGTTACTGTTCTCTTTCCTGTCTTATTACCAGGATTTGTTTAAAGAAAGCTGCCTACCTGGATCATGATTTTCCTTTTCTGCATCTGACCTATTTTAGGGGTAAAAAAGGGGAATCCTGATTTTTTCAACATGCCCTACAGCCTTATTATTTTCTTTCTAATGAAGAAAAGTAGCTCACAGAGACAAGTGTTCAGCTGTAACCTTTAGGCTGGCTAAGGAACAGATTCTCCAGGGAGAAGGAACAAGAAAATGGCAGGGACACCAGTTCATTCTGAATGTTCTTGGGCTCTCAGAGTGCTCACAGAGATGCACAGCACCTATGGAGTTGTTCCCTCATAACTACTGCTCTGGTCTTGAAGCCAAGCTCTGTCTAACACACTTTTAATGTGTTAACAGACAAAATACTCAGATAATATTGTGGATCTTGGATAATATCCACAATCTAATAATTCTGTTACCTTGTAACAGGTGGGTATGTGAATAGTTGAATTATGGTGCTTTGCCCTCTGTAGAGTTGGCTGTCTTGGAGGAGCTGTAGACTAGATGTTACTTACCTGCTGATGATGCTGCACCCAGCATGGCAATGCTGCATCTCTGAGTGGCCAGGGCAGCCCTGCCCTTATCACTTTGTCACATTAGAAAGCAATAATGTCACGTCTTACTGAAACCTCACCATTTTGCATTCATCATGCTGTGCTGTGCCACAGTGAATGTATCAGAGGTTTCCTGGTTGATAGGTTCCCTTTTGCTGGCATGAGTCAAGCAAGGGTTAAAGACCATCCACAGCCATTAATCTGAAGCCAGCTTGAGAAAGCCAATGGGGAAGTGACAGATGGCTTGGAGAGAAAAGACAGGAAACTTTGTACTCCTCTGTCTCTGGAGAAAATTAGTTTCCCCGAACTGTGAGGCCCCTCCACACTGCCTTGGCCTGGGAGTAGCAGAAGTCTGCATATATAACACAAGAGAGGTCTGGGAACTTGCTGCCTTTTGAAGGGTGAGGCAGTTAGTACAGTTAAATCCCACACCTTAAACAGAGGAAATTACTGCAATGGGATGGATGGAGTGGTGTGCTGGTGACTAGAGGGGGGAAAAAAGTGCTTGGGAATAGACTGGCTATTCCCATCATGGTGCCTGGCTATGGGAGTGCTACCCTCTGATAGATGGTGGCATGCCAGCACTGAAGGGTAGAGGTCATTATTGCATTCAGCCAAAGACAGGGAAGATCCCTTTAGGCGCAGCGTGGGACATGCTGAAATCAGCTGAGCAACAGAAAGAAGCAGTTCAGTTTTAAAGAGGCGCTCACTGACTGAGGAGGGCCACCAGTAAACATATATGCTTCTAAACCAGTGCATAATGATACAGGGGGCTCTCCTAAAATGTCAACCTCCATCCATAAATACTGTGATTTTCCTTTCTTCCTAAGAGAGGTATTCTGGTATTTTGCTTATCTGGTGAAAGATAGCTTGTGAGGTAATGCTTGGCACAGCAGGCTTCCAATAAAATGAAGTTTCAGTATGATAGAGATAGGCAGAGTCTGAAATGTCATTGGGAAGGGGTAATGAGGGTAAGTAAAGAGATAGCTTGCTTTCTCACACCTGTACAGAAGGAATTACCTGAAGGAAACCTTCTGCTTTTGTAAACAAGGTGCTGATGACCTGCCACTGGCTTCTACACTGCGGAATCTGTTGTTTGCTTTCTTTTTCAATGGCTCAGTATTAGCTATTTCATTATTCACTGTTGCACTTTGCCCACAAAAGCCAGCCCAGATAGTACAGGCACTGATGTCTGCTATTGGTAGGTACAGACAGTGTCTAGTCTTGAGGTTTGGCTCTACCAAAATAGTCACCCACAAATCAGCAATGTATGGAAGACACTGTCACAGCTTGCATTGCACCAGGAGACAAATTCTTTGCAAAGATTCAAAATCAAGGCAGATTCATGCTTCAGTCACTGATGCTCTAACTTCTATAGGCAGAGGAAAATGCCTCATTTCCCACTCAATTACATGCTGGTGGCTGCAGAGCACATTACCTCTTTTCCAGTAATACTGGCTGCTTGCTCTTTGAATTTCCCTGCTAGCTGAGACACTGAGGGTGATGATGACTTGTCCACCTCTGAGTTGGTCTCTGCTGGCCTGTTCTGACAGATTGGGAACAACAAGTTATGAGTAAAGGCTGGGAAAAGCAAATGGGCTAGAGAGAAGCCTGCATATGTGTTACAAAGTTCAAGAGTCAGCAGGGAATTAAAGCAGAGTTTCTTACATATGGCATCAATCACCCAGTCTGAGAGCAAGAGGTTTGGGAAGACAGGATATATACATTTTCAAATATCCCAGAAAACTAGCAATTCCCACAGAATCTTTCAGCCCTAGCTGAAGAGCCTAGGCTCAGTAATTTTCACTGGAAGCAAACTATTTTCAAGTCAAGTATCTGTTCCCCATCTTTTCCTTGCAGTGAGCAGATGGAGCAGGTCAGTAAAGGACGTTTCCATACACCTTCTCCGCTCTCTCATCCCTTTCAATATTTATTGCCTTCATCACTGTCACCAGTGGTTCTTTTGTGAGAAGCTATTCCACGTCCTCACAGCATGCCAGCATCTGCTTGGGGATGTCCTTGTGCTGTTCGGCTTTTTTGGCAATGAAACACTCAGGTGGGTGTGCATGGGAGGAGGAAATACCAGGGCTGCGAGAACCTTCCCCTCCCCTGGGTCAACAACAGGTTAAGAAGAATGGAGACTGGATGGTGCAACTCTTCTCACAGCCCTGCTGTCATCACACATTTCCCTTGTTTTCTTTGCTGTGTATGTATCAAGCAGTATGAGAAGAAAGGCTTGAAATCAAAGTTGATGAAAGGCAACTTTTGTTCTCCATCTCTAGTATCTGACACCAGGGAAAACCAAACTAAGCAACAATTGTTTTGTTAAGGGACAGACCTCAAAACAACAAACCATCAGCAAGGAAGCTCATACCTCCACTTCCTATACCACCACCATGAATGCATGACAGCACCACACTTCCCACCCCTCCACCTCAACACTCTTCTGCTCCTCAGTCAGAAAGTTCCCCCAGAGTCCACTGCTAAAGGAATACATTTGTTTCTCCAAAAACTGCAGCAGAGCCCTTCCTTCCCCCTTCATACTGCTCTCCCTAGGAGGGACCTGCTGTCTCATTAGCAGAACCACTCCTTCAGCATAGCTGGAGGTGAAATACCAATCTGGCCCATGTATGGACCATAGCCTTTGGGTCACCACACTACAGGGGCTGAAGAAATAGTTGTGGAAACTTGAAAAAATTCTAAAGAAGGAATTTCTTTAGACTCCTAGTTTTTAGATTAAAAGCAAATCAAGGAGATTGCGGTAAGGATCTTGGATCATTCTCTAGTCCAAAAAACCTGGTAGAGAGCAGCATGACTAAGGCCTGTTTGCACTGTGGAAAAGGGCCTTTCCCTCTCTCAGAGAGGTGAATAAATGGTCCTTATAAATGCTGTCTTCTTTCTCCTAGGTGTGCAAGCCCCAGTAGGTGTCTGCCATTCCTCATTTCCAGCATCCTGACTACATCTCCCCCAATAAACTTCTCCTACACCTCAGATCAGCTTTCTTGCATCCAGCCGCAAAAGCCACATCAACTCTCTCCTCTGAGGGAACTTCTAACACTTTCCCACCATCTTTTCAACCTTCATTAGAGTAACTACAGGCAAGGGAAGTGTCAGATAAAGGGAGTGAAAGAAGGAGTGAGGTAAGCAGGGCAAATTGCTGCACACAAAAAGTGATGGCTAGATAAATGGGGATGGAGAGTAGTTCCCAGCTGTAAGCTGTTTTTTCATGAAGGGAGGGCAGGCTGGAAAGAGGAGGAAACAAAGAATGACCCTGGGTAAGGAAGGATGGACTGGGAGGCTTGGCTCAGCATACCAGCTTCTAGGACACCTGGGCATTGCACAACCTGAACAGAGGACTCAGTTGAGGCTGAGGAGCTGCAGGTGCTCAGTGTCTGGTGTATAGGCTACCTCCCTCATAGTCTCTTTTTCTCCAGCCTTTTCATAGCCCTTTGCCTTTACCCAGAAAAGACATAGCACTTCCTCTTGGCCTATCTGACCTCTTGTTTTGGGGTGGTTGTGTTTTCGCTTTGAGTTACAGTCTGAGAACACAGCTCCCTTTCTCTGGATCTGATCAAAGCTGTGAGGGTGGAATGACTCCATGAATTTCTTGTTTTCCTCATAGCAGGCACTGACTGTACGTGGCTCTCACCGGTGCAAAGCTTGCTGGCTGGGTGCAGGAAGCAGTGAACAATGCCATTCTAAGATTAGCACGAGTAGCCCACGGGCTGTGTACTCAAACTGCCAGCTGCAGGCTCTCTGATTACACCACACGTTTTGTAACAGGAAAAGTCCTTTCTTGGATCCTTTCTGCCAATTACATTCCTGTTAAGAATCCATCCTTTTCTAAAGCTTCGGTTGTTTGGGGGTTTTGTCCCAGCTGGTGTGCCAGGTTCTATGCCTTCTAGTCAATGGAAAGTGCGATACTGGGACACTTGGATGCAAAATTTTCCTTCCTTACACTTCAAGAAGAACACCATGCCCCTGGCTTCCACGAGTTGGATGTCAGTCTGCCTCGCACTGGGAGGGAGGTGGGAAGCCTCACTTTCTCACTCTTATCCCAGAGCATGTACCAGCAGCCCTCAGCCTCATCCACGCCTAAGACATGCATCTGCTCCTTTCATCCCAGAGCTTAGTGCTGGGTCTTTCCTGCCCCACAATAGTTATGTAAACTCCCCCATTCCTGGTCATTTTTTCCATCTTGGTGACATAACCCACCACTTCTCTGAGGGATGATGATAAGGAGCTCTGCTCTTTTTTTTGCCAGAAGAAGGTGAAATTACTCAGATGTGAATTATGTGCTCTTTGCAACTAACTGCTGATTCTTTCCCTTTTCCTAAGAGAAGTGTGCATGGGCTAAACCCAGTGAGCTAAGGTGAAAGAATTATTCCATCAGTAATTTGGTGACTGCTACTCTGAGGTCTTTTACTGTTCCATAAAAATAAGTGTCTAAGCACTGTGTATTCTGAAAAATGTCAGTCAGAGACTTAAAACACTAAATGAATTGTACCATCAGTGTAAGCATGGCACTATCTGCAAAAGAGGAAGTGCAACTAGCAAGTCCTCTGTACAGCGTTTCACTTTCCTCTTCCAAATAAGTTTATAAAATTGAGTAAATTTGAAAATTATTTTCAACCACATGTTTCTTCATCTGCTCTTAAAACTAAACCTGGCCCCTTTGACAGCACTGGACAGGAAAGTCCTGCCTTTATTTGTGGGTTAGGCGCAATCACGGCAATTCAAGGTTTCTCACCAAAGCCTCTCCTTCCTTATGCTTTGGAATCCTTGCCTCTGTTGCAAAAGCAAAACTGACACCAATTCCTGATTCTGCAGATTCAGAAGCCTAAAGGGGGACACTATTTTTAGCAGAGATCCCTGCTTCTCTCACAGGCTTCCTGGTGGAAACACTACTAGGTCCCCATAGAAATATCCCACGTCATCTCTGCTGTATCTTTTCAAGGCAGCTGGGAGTGGAGATGCTCAGTACTCAAGGCAGTGAGTGGAGATGCCTGGAAGCTGTGGCACAGTCAGCTCTGGTAGCAGAGTCCCAACTTGGTGATTTAATGTGCCAGAAAATGCAAGGGTAGAAAGGCTGCCTGACGTGGGAGGTATCCCTCAGTACAACAATGTCCTTACCTGGCTCAGTGACATTTGGCAATTCTCCTGCTGGAGCCCCTGTGGGCACCGGGTGAGAGAAAGCATATATTAGAGGCCCACAGAGAAAACATCAAGAGACTGAAGAGTTTTGCTGTGCATAACCCTTGGGTATTCACAAATAGCTTTTCTTAAAGATCATGATTTGAGCTACAGGTGAGGAGTGTCACTACAGTGAGTTTTTTATGAAATCAGAATTGCAGAGAATTTCCACTCCTGTAGAAAACTGGAAAGCCAGAGGTGGCTTTGGTGGTGAATTGAAACGACTTGCTGATACCAGTGCAAAACTGGCCCCAACAGCCTTCAGCTAGCAGTTTTGGTCATGACCTAACCCCAGTTTTGTCACTGTCCATAATGCACTACTGGAAATACTAGTCTGAAAGTGTACCAGTGGGATTCAGAAGCAGACAATGAAGGATTTGTGCACCTGGTTTGATGAAAAGAACCAAGGTTTATTAGCTGCCAAACAGTGGAGTGTTTTGGCTTAAGCAGTACTTAAATGCCAGCTGAGTAACAGCAGTGATTTGTACTGCCCTACTCTCCTTTCCTCCCCTGAGTCCTCTGACTTGTCTGCTTTTGCAGAAAACATTCTAATATTTTGGCCAAATGGAGCACCTTTAATCTGGATGCAAGTCCTCCACAGCACCTTGCAAGGCTGGAGTATTCAGCAGCTATGAATTCAGTGATGGTTACACAATTTTGGTACTGGTCCTGTGCACTTCACACACCAATTCTCATGAAACTGCATCTAGATGTGCACTGAGGCCACTCCCTCAGCTTCGCATCTCTCCCTTGCTTCTAAAGAGCTTCACAGTCATGATTCCCTGAAGCCATTCTCACACCAGTCCATTGTGCCAGCTGCTTTCCCATACCCTGTGCTCACACAAGCTCTGCAAAGCTCCCCTGTGACTCCCACAGGGGTTTTTCATTGCTGCACATACGAGCTACCCCAGCAAAAGCAAATATGGTAAAAATAATGACAAATACAGTGTGTCAGAGTCAGACACAATAAGGCATCAGAAGTTCAGGGCTAGTGTCAGGATTACAGAAACAGAATCCAGAAATAGCGACCCTCAGCACTGAGCTCTCAACACCACGCTATGAGAAGGCAGTTGCCAGTATGCTAAATGAAAACAAGATAGGGTCAGTGTTTTTGGGGTGCAGCTTCATCAGGTCCTGGTTTTGCCAGAAAGACAGCTTATGTTTCCAACTACTCTTTCTCCCTTGACCTTCGTTTCCCCTTCCCCTCTCCCTTGCACCAGTGTGAATTTGTGGGGCTTGTGCTGTACACCGGATCACTGAAATGATCTGGGCTAAAAATACGTCCCTTAAGTCTTTACAAGGTTATTTTTAACTCAGATCATTTCAGCAATTGAGTTCACAGCACGGCCTGAC